CAGCACTAGAGCTCCATGCAACTCAGCAAGGAAGCCCAGCCGCCCGCCTTGCTGCACCGCCAACCCCCACACAAGAAACCATCAGTCACCCAGGTCAATACAAGCTGGCAGGGGCAGACCCTTCCGCCCTGCCACATGCTTCCCCACTCAGCCCCCTTCCTCTTCCTCCTCCCCCCCAACCACCTGCCTGGCCAATCAAGAAGCATGCCGGCCTTGCTGTCGTCTCCAGTAGCCTCAGAGGACTGGGGGAGGGGAGGGGAGGGGGACCAGGAGGGGAGGGGGCAGGGAGGGGAGGGGGCATCACCCAAATAGCTGAGAATCTATGCTCAGTTGTGTAACCAGATGGAAGGGGGAAATTAGGAGCAGACATTAAAATCTTCTGGAAAAGTTCCATGAAGGAAGATTCCTGATTGGATCCAAGAGACTACCTGGTGCTAGAGGGCAAAAGGCTATAATAAGAGTACAGGCGAGAAGGAAGCCCTGCTAACTTTATGTTCATGCCATGCCAGTATGCTTTGATATGCTATGCTTTATCATGATGGACTGCAATGTATAGAATGCTTCTTTGCTACGGCTTGGATTTTTATGCTACAAGAAGATATGCCATCACATAACAGGTATTCAGTGTATTAGATAGAACAGTTAGCTTCTTTATTTTCTCTGTTGCTAAGCTGTAGAGACTTACAACGTAGTGAAATCTTTTTTAACCTTTAAATAAACCATATATCAATGTATTTTTTACATTAAATAACAGCTATGTAGGCCTCCAGGTTGGCCTGGGCCACCCTGTTGTTAGAAATCACACACATTCTGAACTGCTATTAGCCTCAATAAGGAAAAAAACCCAGGTACAATACCGACTTACTTCACAGGGTGATGGTAGTATATGAGTAAATAAAAGACTGCAAAACACTGTATACTTTTTTTAAAAAGTGGTACTCTGTAAATTGGTATTTGAAATTGTTTTATACTGCTGGACTGATGCTGTGGTTTTATTATTATGATTGTTTCTTCCACTCTAGGAATCAGGACCTTAAAGAACTTGGTGAACTTTCTCCACATTGGGACAATATGCGTAAAACTGTTATTACACACTGTGATCAAATGCTGACCCTCTATCAAGACATGCTTGCAGAACTAGAGAAGTACACAGGTTAGAAATATGTTCTCACTGAACAAATGAAGTTAAAATTTACTCGTTTTTTGGGTCATGTCTTATCAATTGAAATGTCATTTCATTGTATGTGTCTATTCAGATGATATCCAGAGAGATTATTTAAATGCAGGATTTGCCTGAACCTGTAAGTATAGGGCCAATAGTTTTTCTCTGCCAGAATCTCTTCCTGGGTATGACCTCCAGGCATTGTGTTTCTGTGTGGGAGGACATTGTATGAGCTAGACTAAACAGATACTATTATTCCCAGTGATGGTTCATCCATGGCTCCTTTGAAACATCCTGTACCTGGTTCAGATTGAATGTGTATGCATAGATATAATTATCTTTTCTTTTGTATCTTGGGAAGAAATAGTTTTATTCAGCAGTAGAGTAGTTGTACAGAAGTATTAGTTTCCTGACAACCTTTATTTTGCAGAATTGGCATTTATAATGCTCAGGGGTCGTTTCATAGAAAAAGAGCTAGGGGAACTCATTAGCATAACTCATTAGCATATGCCACACCCCCTGACATCACCGGAAGTGTGTCATAAGGCCACACACCCCGCCCCCAACGGAAAGGTCCTCCCTGGCCCCAGGCAGGCAGGCAGGGGTGGGGAGAGGCAGGGAGGAAGCAACTTACCCTCCCTCTTCTCCTACCTCCTCCTGGCTGAATGAGGGCCGGAAGCAGGGTGGCCGGAAGCAAGGGGCGGGGCTTCGTCATGTGCCCCACCCCCCCGTACCTCACCCGGGGGAACTGCGATCCCCCCCTGAAATGACCTCTGATAATGCTCCAGAACTAATACAAACAATACTTGCATGCTTCTCTTCTATATGGGGAAATTGCTTTAATAATATGCCTAAACTTCCTTGGTAGCTTTTTTCTGTAAAAAAGACCAGATAGCCATCTTACTGGGCGTTGATCTCAAAAAGCAGTGTTCAGATCCCTGCCCAGCCTTTGACTGACGTGATTTCCTTTATGTGCAAGTAACTTCATTCCCAGGTTCAGATTCCCTAAAGAAATACAGGAATAGCAAGAATATCAGTTTGTATCTGTTAAATAGTGGGTCCCATGGATGAACAGACTCCCAGTCTAGTGATCAGCTCTACTTTATTCAGTGATTTCAGCAAGAACAAGACTGTAGACCAGAGCCTCAGCTCAGTTATATTGCATGCAATGGCCACACCCCAACACACCCCACTCCCAACGATAGGCTATTTACAAAACTTTACGTCTTAATTGGTTACTGCCAGAATCCTGTTGGTCTATTGTTATTCTGCTCCAAGCTCACCCTCTCTCTGGCAGCACTGTCCTACACCTTGATTGGTTACTGCCATAATCCTGTTGGTCTATTGTTATTCAGCTCCAAGCTCACCCTGTCTCTGGCAGCACAGTCCTGCAATGTTTCAGTCCCAATACATAACAGTATCCAAACCATGTTTTTTCTATCCATGAGTGCTGTCTATAAATAAGCTGTGTTCTCCAGTGCGTTTTTCTCATATGTTACACATTTGGTGCCAGCAATAGCTCCCATATATTTCTTTATGTATGTGTTTGCTGTCCCTATTGAATCCCAACTTTCACTCAACAATACATGTTAAGAGCATAGTATTCAATTGTTGGTTGGGTATCCAGTTATACTCTATGAAGGAGTGTTGGCACTTGGTGCAGTTAGCTCTTGATTTAAATCTAATCTTAGATCGTCATAATGGCCTACTTTACTAGGCCCTTATAAGTAAGATGAAGTAGCAAATATATAGACTTAATAATGAATGTTAATAATATACTTTGGGTCAATATGTGTTTTTGGTGTGCCCTTATGAGTAAGTGGTGTCAGTGCCAAGTACTTAGTGCTATTGCTCTACTATTTGTTCCCTATCACGTCTCCTTTCCTGAGCCATGCAACTTTTTGCACCATGCTGAGGTCTGCATCGCACAGTATAAAATTCCTGGGACAAAACATTTCTTTGCTAAAGAACAATTTCTAAACAGTGTGGAAGTGACCAGGTATAAGTCATATGTACCATTATGTAACACCTACTGAGAATCTATAATGGTTTAATGTTTGTATGTTTTTGAAAAAAATTTAAATAAAATTCTATCCCTCCATGGGGTAGTTAAAAAAAAAAGAATCTATAATGGCCACACTTTCCTGATCCCTGTAGATGCTGCAAAATACATCTATGTGTATGTCTGCGTGTGATCATTATATATGGTGGTCTATACAGAGGTTGTTTGCAGAAGTGCTTTCTGTGTGACCTGCCCCTGAGATGTACACCAGTTCCATGATCTAGTGTTGTTTTTAGCATATATAGCTTTATGGCACCATCATTTCAAATATGCTATGGGCTGTTTCTAGGCAGCAGGAACATCTATCACCAAGCAGGGGACTGAAAAGAAAGAACCCGAGCATTAGTTTGTTCTGTAAATTAAAAGCTATTTTGTCGACTGTGATAGAGGTGCATGCTGAGACACAGTTAGCAAATTGTAGTTGTTGTTTTTTCTTAATACACAGTTACACATTAAAGGTATTTTTAAAATGCTGCTAACATAAGTATTACCCTGACATTTTAAGAAAAGCAGAACATCTGGAGGGCACTTCAGATAATAATTCTTCAGGATCTTGCTTTCCAGGTTCTTCTTTCAAATCAAGCTGTAGTAAAGGGGAAAAGACACTAGAATTTGTTCCAGTCAATCTACATCTGCAGAGAATGTATGTGCACAGCCCTCGGTTGAAAGGTAAAATATATTCTGTATACACTTTGGTGCTTGGAAGTTTGATTCAGACCCTGTCATGAGGCCTGTTTGTATTCCTATTATCTGCAGGGTTTTACACTCATGTGATTATCCTATTTAAATGCCCAGAAGGTAAATGTTGCTACTAGAACAAGATGATTAGTATCTAATTAAATGTATCTACAAGTATCTATGGCTGCTTGTGCTACAAAATGTCCTAAAGCATAGTTATGCAGGTTACTTTCTGTGCATGTATGTGCAGATGGCCAAATATTTGATATCTGGGAATGTGGTAATTCAACATTTTACTTGTCAGCAGTTCAGCATAACTTGCTGGGCTGGCTTTAGTTCTGTAGTCAGGGCTTTTCCCTAGCTTATATTTGAAATGTTAAGTGTGAGTACTATGTTGTATATGATTTGTAGATGAAGGGCATATAGTTGCTAATGCTATTTCTGCTGGAGCCCTACATTTTTTGTGGTAAAAATGGTGATTTCCTTTTTCCATATTTCAAAATAACATTTGATCCCCAGTTTCTTTAAAAAAGAATGTTTCTAAGTACCACTGATATGAATTGGGACCAAACTGTAGACTATGTAAAACAAACAAACCCACACACACTTCTTAATGGCTGTTGAGATGCTGCCTGAGGCTTTCGTGACTGTGACTGCCTTGAATTGTGTTTTAAGTCATTTTCAAATAATATTTTTATTAAAGGTATGGCTGTCTTGGGGCTATTAATGTGCACTTACCCTCTTCCTCATCAATAGTGCAGAGTGGAAAGGGAAAATTTTATCCTTTCTCCATGCCAGCAGGCCCAGGTGCTCAGCCTGTTTGTAAAACTGATGGGGCATTAGCTAGTCCTGTATTAATAGTGAAGCCTTAACCAATAACACATATTACTAAATCTTAGTGATGGGTTCACAATAAATGATCACTTCATGAACGCTAGAGCCGATCTGAGGCTAATAAAATTATTTCACTTCTGCCTTTAAATTAGATTTTAGGGACAAACAATGCATCAATGTAAAATTGGTTTCTATGGATCTATTTTGAATCTCACCCATGCCACTGAGATACAGCCCATTAACTGTTAATCGTTCATACAGTGTTTCTGCTTATAGAGACATTTCTCACTGGAATAAAAAAAGATTGTTTGTTACATGGAGAGGATTGAATTCTATTTAAATGTGGCACTTTCTAAATGAAAACAAATAGGTTACATCTGGAAGAAGGTATGCAGAGAGTACGCTTATGGATGCCTTTTTAAATGACCTCTCCAAGCTGGCCACAGTTTTTCAGCACTAAAATTCATTATGGATAGAAGGATGCTGAAAGTAGTGAATGCTAATGCAAGTTACAGAAATTATACATTTAAGTACTAGAATGTACAAGTGAAAATTTATATTTATAGATGGGTCACTGGAACAGATTGCAGCAGAACTCTGTCATCTATACTGTTTGCCTGTTGTTTGAGGAATCCAAAGTACCGGTTTCTACCTAAACAAAGGTTGTGTTCAGACTGGCAGTTTGGCCCGATAAAGGCATATTTTACAAATTAAACAGGCACAATCACACAGCCACATTTGTCAGGCATTCCCCGGGCGTACTCACCCTGTCCGAGGACGACTTGGAGCCGGGTTAAAAAGCCACCACCTCCGAAGTGGTGTTTTTGTTTCCCTGCGCATTCATTGCACTTGGCCAGATGTCTGAACACGGGGGAGCGCACGCAGAATGGATTTGGCAGTGTGAACCTGCAGATCTATTCTGCCGCTACGGAGGCGTTTTTAAAAAATAATTGCCTATGTGTGCATGTGTGTTCATGCGCACTACGCACACACATGGTTTTTGGATTTGTTTTTGCCGTTCGGTCCGTGGTTGAGGCGCCACAATAATGTGGATGCTTTACCACGGGATGTCTCCATGGGTAACCCACAGCAGGTTGTGCTGTGTAGCTGATATATCCCACTACACTTTAACCCGGTTCAATTAGAGGCGGCACCATATCGCACCAAGCCACCAGTGTGATCACAGCCAAACAATGACTACTTTAGGTCTAAGAGGCTGCCCGTGATGGTCTAAAATCAGCTGAGAATACTTTCCATTTGACTCCAAATGGGAACAGGTGTCATGTTGACCATAGGGATACTTCTGAGAATAGCATCCTTCTGGTGAGTTCTACTCTTCCCCTCCATAAGGTTTATGTACACTTACCACATGATGTGGATCAGGGTGATCTAGTAAGTATATATTAGAATTTTTAAAAGGCTTGTTGATAAGCCAGAGACTCTTGAGTAAAAGCAGCAGTCATGAGATAAGAGGACAAATCTGCTTATTGTTTAAAATTTGGTTAAATTGCAGGAAATAGAGAGCAAGAACATATGGTCAGTTCTCACAGTGGAATGAAGTGAATGCTGTGGTGCCAAAAGGATTGGTGTTAGAGCTGGTGATATTTACTTTATTCATAATTATCTGGAATTGGGGATAAGCTATGCAGTGGCCAAGTTTGCAGAGATGCCAAATTATGAAGAATGGGAAACACCAAAACAAATTATGGAGATATTATAGTGGAACCACATAGATGATAGTGAATCTGCACTTCTTGAGTTTGCATGCAAATCTCAATATTTGTCTATTCCTGTTGCAGATGTTCTGTATGATGTCATTACTATAGGAGCCCCTGCAGCACACTTTCAGGGATTCAAAAATGGTGGTCTTCAGAAACTATTGAATAAGTTTGAGTTAGAAAGGCGAAAGTAAGTACATTATCAGTAACTGATTAAAAATAAACTATAGACTATATTGCTATGTTACTGTCCATTTAAACAAAATTGCTGCTTATATGTATTTGCATTAAATTAATAATACTTTCCCTATATGTCTGGCAAAAACCTTTAGCAATAGTTATGCTTAGAGAACAGCTAGGAAGAATAATATACAAGGTGGGCATGTGATGTTTTTGCTAATGCAATAACCAGTTGCATTCTCACAAGTGTTACACAAATTTGTAGACCAAGGGAACCGAAAGTAAGAGAAAGTGAATTGTAACATCCCGTCCAATGGACTGAAATGGGTTTGGATCCAAAAATGCCTTCCTCTTGCAGAAAGAGTCTTCCACTCATTTTTCCATAACAGGAAGAATGTTTTTGATCCTACCAATATTTCAAATGACGGAAAAGTGGCAGAACAGCCCCAAGGCTTCCTGGATGACACATCCTCCCTTGACCCATTTCAATCTGATTTCCTGCCTGGGTTTGGTACTGCGAAAGCTTTAATTGTTCTGGTCTATAATCTTCATTTAAAGTTGATAGGGTACAAACTGAAGACAAAACAAACTGAAGCTGAATCCAGACAAGACAGAGGTCGTGCAGGTTGGAAAAGCTGGTAATTGTAGGGAGATTGTATCCACTTCTCCTGGATGGCGTGAACTTGGCTTTTTCATGTTAAGAGTTTGGGGTGCTCATGGACTTTGCCTTGCTGTTTGAAAAGCAGATTGGCACGGTGGCCAGGAGTGCCTTCTGTCAGTGCATCTGATTTGCAAACTCTCTCGTTACCTAAATTTAGCCAATCTGGCCACACTGATCCATGCTTCTGTAACTTCAAAGCTGGATTATTGCAACGTGCTGTACATGAGGTTGCCCCCAAAGACAACCCAGAAACTACAGTTGGTCCAGAATGCAACAGCCTGACAATTGTCAGGGCCTAGCCACTGGGAAACATACGTTGACCATTTTGAAACAGTTACATTGGCAGCCAATATGTTTCCAGGTTCAGTTTAAGGAACTGGTTGTGACCTTTGAAGCTTCACAACCTGGGACCCACATATTTGAAGGACCACTTCCTTTCATATGTCCCTGTGCTCAAAGTATGATCATCAGGCAGCCATGAGTTGGCTATCCCACTTAGGGTGGCCCATCAGGCATTGACCAGAGCCCTGGCCTTTCCATTGTGGCTCCGGCTCTTCAGAATGTTTCTGTTAGCCTTAATCCAGTGATTTCAATGTAAAAGTAGGAGCTCTGCTCATGCACACAAAGGATATGGATGAGTGGACCTTCCATGCATAACATATCCCTCGAATGCTGTAGTGAATAGAGAAGCCCTGCTTATTCAGAACTCGGTGTATATAGCTTTTAATTGTGTTGATGATGTTTAAAAATGAATTCACTTAGGAAGATGTTTTAATTGACTGAGTTAAGTCTGAGAAATACCATTAAAACGCAAAAGCACAGACTCTTGCTGTCATAAAGATAGCTGCAATTATCCACATAAGAACTATTTGTGAATCTTATTGGGAACAGATAATACTCATTAAAATGAACATTAAAAGTGGTAGTAATTAACAAAGTCTTGTTATTAATTCCAGGCAGATTTGCAGTCCTGAATCTTTTCCAGTAATGGCATACCTTCCCTTCCTTTCCTATCTTTCTTTCAAGTTACTTTGATTGATCTTGAGCAGCCAATGAGGAGTCTTTATTTCTTTAAGGAAAATATGGTGAAGAGATATTTGGCCACAGCTAGCTAGTCTTTGGATCTCTATCCACCAACAAATAAGGGGCTATGTTATCTTTTGATACAGTAGTAGGGAATGTGGTTAAAATAGGGGCAATCCATAGCTCACAATAGAAGTTATGATGAGGACATTCTAATGTCATGTGGGACAGGGAGTCGTCCTTTTTCAAATCACATTGGCAAAGTGTCAGAATAAGGCAAATTACAGTATCTCCCATGTAGGACTGCTGAAAGGGCAGCATTCAGGCGTGTAAGCATGAATAACAATGAACTGTTTATTTAATGTAGGCATTTAATGTAGGCTGAGATGGTTGAAGGTGGGAGAATGCCAAAGAACTGGGTGGAGCATACTCTCCGAGCTCATATAACTGAGTTAAAGTAAACTAGGTCTTTTATACATTTTTTGATAATAGAGAATCGCTTTTCCCAAGTCTCGATATATTGTCCTTTGCTAGGCCAAGACTAGACAACATATCATTAAAGTGATTTGCTTCTGTTGCTTACTGGCTGTTCCTGTTGGTATATCAGTAATCATAATAGGCATAACAAAGTCTGAATCCAGTGGCACCCTTAAGACCAACAAAGTTTTATTCAAGGTATATGCTTTCATGCGCATGCATACTTTTTCAGACAATAGGCATACACATTTAACTAAATGCATATAGATGTTTATTTGTGATTATTAAGAGATTGATAATCTTGAAATTATATTTTACTGTAAAATTTGGGCACAAAATTTCACAAAAATGGTATATCAAGCTCAATCATGTAAGAGAATGAAAAACACTAAGCAAGGCAGAAAATTTATTGGACCAATTTCTGCTTGTTACAGTATATAATCACCAGCTTTACAAACCTGTAAAGTTCTAATGCTTTTGATCTTTCAAATTTACATAACAAGGAAAAAAGAGTTGTAGCATCTTAAAGACAAATATGCTTTTGTAGAGTACATGCCACTACACCAGAAGCACAGGCCCGTAGCTATGCTGGGGCCTCTTGGGGTTTGGCCCCCTGACTTACTGCCGAGGCCCCATGATTTCTGATCCAGTCCAGCCCCCCCCCCCCAAGAGGCTGCGGGTGTGGAAAGGGAAGCTGTGTCTTCCTGTGCATCTGTCTGGCATGAAGGGCCTGCTGTGGTGACTGCACAGGAGCCGGACGGCTCCTCTCTATTCCCCCTGGAAAGTCTTCCCCTCAGCCATGCTCATGCCCAGCCGCTGCTATCGGGGCCCCTGTGATGTGTGCTTCTCCAGCAGGAGTCAAAAGCAGAAGTGGCACCCCAAACTGAAAGCCTTGCGCGGGCCTGCCCCCAGCCAAGCTCTGCGGGGCTCAATGTAGCTTGCTGCTGCTGCTCCTTGCCATCTGAAACAGCTCTCCTTGGAAGTAAGCACATGTTATTCAATGGGGTTTACTTCCAGGAAAGTGTCTTTGCCTTGCATATTTCAGATTTTTCCAAGTGATGGGGCGGGTGGGGGGCAGCCTAGCCAGGGAAGGTTTTTCAAGCTGGAGGGTCCCAGCCGGGGGGGATGAACAAGTTTTCCAACAGTTGCCAGGCTCCTTTCTCCTCCTCCGCAGAGGAAGCTGGCTTTGTTTGCGGAGTCAGGGGAGGGAAGGTGAGAGGGAGGTCTGGGTCAGTGCCATCACCTCCTCCTCTGTGCCAGGGCTGAGCCAAAAGGGCTTGCAGAGGACCCCATGCATGCATGCTTCACTCTCTTTACCCTCCCCCCAAAAGAGCCTTCTTTCTCTCTTTCGTGTAGTCTTCTACAGCTCCCTCTCCATTACACTCTTCTGGCCCTTGAGGCCACAATCCCACGTCAGCAGCCACAGCAAAGAGACACCCCACCCCTGTGCCATTCCCTGCAGCGAAGGCAGTGGCAGAGGTCTGGATGGGGGGGCGCTCCCCAGAGGGAGAGAGGGGAGTCTACTAAAACCTGGCAGAGACAGAAAGGCAAGTCAATTGAATTACCTTTAATGTAATTAGCCAGTGCCTCCTAAGAAATTTAAATGCCCCCCAGCAGAAAGTTCTGGCTATGAGCCTGCAGAAGCATGACACCTAAGTTTCTGTGGACAAATGCCACAATGTCTTTAAGGTGTCACAAAACTTATTTTAAATAAATCAATGCTGATACTTATCCTCCCCCATTCTATCTGAATGAGAAAAGAGTACCAGGGAAACTCTCCAAAAAGCAATGTCCTGGTTAATTTATTAAAGTATGTGCACCCGACCTTTTCCAACGAAAGTTTTCCATGGTGTCTCAATGGTTCTTTTCCTCTTGTCAAAGTTTTCCTTAGAGAAAGACAAAGCAGCCCTTAAATAATCACACATGAATTAGCACTATGGAGAAACTGGGAGACCAGCAGAGAGAGAGCAAAAACTATTTGGCATTAAATGAAGAAAATTATTTCATGGTGGCAGTGACAGCCTCATTTTTTTGCATGTACATGTTTATTTAACAGTCCAAAGATGCTTGGAGGCCACTTTGTATTTTCCTGGTTTAGATTTTACAATTTAAATTTTCTGTTTTATAATGGGAGCACCTCTCAGAGGCCTGCCTGGGTTGTGGAAAGAAACAACAATTAGAGACATCAGGAAGAATATAATGTGAATAGATTAAAAAGTGGCAGCTGTTCCCTGTAAGCAAACGGGACTGAAATTCAAAAAGAAAAAGGTCGCTTTATCAGGTTATCTGGGAAAGTATCTCAAACATTTTAAACTCGTGTCATAACATATTGCTTTTTTAAAAAGTGTTAATGAAAAAAATTGTGTTATGTATATCTTTTAAGTGTGTGTGTATAAATGTTATCTCCAGTATGAACATTAAAACACTATTAAAATCAACTGTCCAAGCATCCTAAAATAGATTTTGCTTTAAATAGTTAGCCCAGTTTGATTCCTGTACACGTCTTTAATAGAACTGGTTAAAACAAGCTTGGAGTTTATGCTCCAGATGATGTATGCATATAAACAAGTTTTTTTTAAAAAAACACAACATACTGTCATCCCAAGCATTGAATTTTTAAAAATGTAACGCAATGGTACTCACTCTGCAGCTGATGGAGAGCCACATTTTCAGTTACTATCAACCAAAAGTTTACAAGATTACGGTACGCCCTATGTGCTGCCCCACCTACAAGAATATAACTACAATATTAAAGATATCATATTTTAAATTATCAGATTACTTCTGAGCATATAGTGTAGCCTATTTTCATTACTGTTGAACCTTAGTTGGCTCTTTCATATCTGGAT